AGGGAAGGCCAGAAAGGGAGGCAAGTGAGGTTGATTGACCTAAAAGCTGGTACTTCCTCTGTAGCTCTGCAAGCTCCTCATTCACGGTGACCACTTTGCTGCGAATCATGTCTCTGATCCTGGGCAGCTCCAGCTATCATATATCACAAGCAGCATTAACCTCCACCATTTCCACCTGAAAGAATGTAATAAGAAATCCAAAGCAACATGTTTATCGTTCAGAAGCACTTCGAGACAACACGGCATTGCCAACATAATTAAGAATTCATATGAAGTTATTATGAGCCCCTTCCAGGTACCCTCAAGCCCTGCGTTGCCATGATGCTGGCCAACCCTTAGAAGTTAGCGCATGTCCTCTCCGGCAAGCAGTAAGAAAGGGGATTAGAACTACTTAGAAGGTCGAGCCAACTGCATTCGGGCAGAAGTACAGATGTGCAATCGAGTCATCCACGGAAGCCTCTCCCTGATTGTAACTTTGTTGTTTCCGGAGAACAGCGGTAGTCAAGAGTGCGGGGCTGGAAAACCAGCGCGGCTTAGTCGGCGTGAACACCTCCAAGAAGACCAAGGAACAAAGTAATGCGCATGCAACAACGAGAACTCGTACCAACCTCAAGATCATGCGCTCATGACCCTCCGCAGATGAACTGCTCTTTCCGAATCGACATGCGTCAGCAAAGTTATTTCAAGGTCAAGTGGTGTTGGCAATGTTGTGCACGCCAACCTGGATCACTAAAGGTGGTGGGGGGGGGGGGGGGGGGGGGGGGGGGGCACTGGCTAGCTCGTGGACATGGAGACGAGAGGGAGGGTGGGAGCAAGGAGCTCGACCACGCTCCGGTATCAATAGAGTGAAAGCCTCTGGGAGTGAAGATTTTCCTCGAAGCTAGAGTGGCTATGGACGAAGCGTGGTGAGGACCGTGGACACGGACAGCAGAGAGGGAGAGAACACAAACAGGAGCTCAGCTTCCGCACTGGATTGAAATGCCACAGTGCAGTGGCAGACTGAACGACTCAGTATACTAGTCACACGGGCACCACAGGGTCCCATACAAACAGGGTACCACGGATGTACAGAGCCGAACTGTCAAAGCAGGCCGACAACCACCCTCACCTGAAAATGACTCCCCGGTCATTATCGCTGTATATAGACTGAGAGTTACCCCACATACAGTTATAATGACCAGGCGTTCTATTCAGGTTATAAGATGGTATGGCCTAAACCAATAGGTCAGATAGCCCAGTGGCCAATAGCCATGCGTAGGGGTGACCACTGCACTGGTCTAGGTCTAGGATGCATACTGCGCCTAGATCCACAAGACCTGGATTGAAATGTAATCCTTTTTCTTTTTTTTTCTTTTGTTTTTAAAGATCACTAATACCTCCGAGCCTCATGTCCCACAATGCTGAATTTTGCCTGCCCCTGGACTACCGAACCGTTGTGGGGTTGGGCCTAGCAATGGCAGTCATATGCATCACATTCACGCCACAATTTTTTTATTATTTCTTTTTCCAGGATGCCACAAATTCTTTTAACAGGTAGGAAGTCTTTTTTTTTTTTTTTCCGTTTTACATTTACCCTTATACAGCTGCATGTACCTGCGAGGACTGAGCCCTCACAGGCCCCCGACAGACATGCAAGTGTTCTAGGCTGTGGGGCCCCAGCGAGCATTGTGCCCACCCTAAGTGAAGTCGGGCCTGAATATCCACCAGAGGTTACGACATTTTCCATATGTGGGTACTCAGACAGTTGCAGCACGCCAGTCGGTTACAGGGAAACGTGAGCCTCCAGGCTCTTTCCAGCAACAAGGGCTGCGCTGTACAGTTGAGCCCAGGGCCGGGTGGTTGCGCCGTGGGCACACGCAGTGTGAGGCCGACACATCACGCAGCGGCCACGGACAAATGAGAAAGCAGCATTGTCGTCACACAGTCTCCGCGAGCCAATGAGAATGCGGCCAACACTCGGAAGCCTGGACGGCTACCTGTAGGTGCCCAACCAAAAAGGGCCCAGCCCCTTAACTGTAGAAGTGGGCCTGGGCGCAGACACTGGGGCCCGACTGGAACCTACTGTAAACTTCCTCAGCCAGGCCCAAGCAGACACAGCAGGGGCTTCACTTTCGATAAAGGAAACAGGCCAGCCCAGGGGAGGGCATTCTGGCCTAGGCAGGCAATGCGCACACGCTGCTGCGTTGCTGCACAAGTGTCTGCATGGGCGCTGCAGTGCGGACACGCTGCTGCGTTGCTGCGCAAGTGTCTGCATCTTTTTTTTTCGGGGGGAAGGGGGGGTCCATTTCTTCTCATTGTGCGGTCCAGGACATCTGTTAAAATTTGGAACCATACAGAGAAGATTAGCATGCCCACATAAATCGAGAAATGGTCCAAATTCAGGGGGAGGGGGGGAAACAAACAAACAAACAAAAAAAAAACGCAGCCCACGAACACAAAACCCCGCCATGTGGAAAAGCCCAACCAGCAGGTCAGGAGCAGCCCCCGCATGTTCTCTCGTGAACACGGTTCTGGCTGCTACGGGGTTCCCTGTATGACTACAATTAGGAATAGTGGTAGGTAGGTAGTGTGAGGTGAAAATGAGAGAAGAATGTAGCTTACTTATTATAAAAAAAAAAAAAAGCCCCAACCAAAGGACGCTCCACATGCAGAAAAGACAAAAAATATGGTGAAGATTAGGATGGCACCTGCGCAAGAACAAGACGCATGAATCGAGAATATAGGGGAGAACAGGGGGGGGGGGGGGGGAATGGCGTCGCAGTCCACAAACGGAAAACCCCGTCACGTGGAAAAGCCCAACCAAAGGACGCTCCACATGCAGAAAAGACAAAATATATGGTGAAGATTAGCATGGCGCCTGTGCAAGGATGACATGCATGAATCGAATATAGGAAAAAAAGGGGGAAAAGAAAATTGGCACTAAGACACATTGCCATCTTTTTTGTCTTTCGTGCATGTGCAGCGTAGTGCATCGCGGCCCATTTCCAAATGTGCAAAATGGGACTGAATCCACCGCTAGAACATGGAAAGTAGTGCCATTTTTCTTGTCCCGCATGTGGAGAGTAGTGCAGATACCTGCACTTTCTTTTTTTTTTTTTTAGGCGGAGCCGGGGCCTTGCTTTACGACTCACCAAAAGTGCAAAACGGGCCCTTGCTGCACCACTCTCCAAATGTGCAAAATGGGACTTGGGACTGAATCCACCGCTTGAATGTGGAAAGACACATTGCCATCTTTTTTGCCGTTTGTGCATGTGCAGAGCAGTGCAAAGAACGGAAAAGGACAAAACACTGCCACCATAGCAGCCCCCACCACAACAAGAAGCAAAAGAAACGCCGTTCGTGCGGGCACCGCTGCGCCCAAATGACACAGCTCCGCTTTTTCTTTCGGGCGGGTGCCACCCGTTCTCCTCCTCGGTCCTGCATGGCACCTCGTGCAGGGCTCCACGGCCACTTTTTCCTGGGCCCGGCGGGAGCGTCACGCTGGGACCGCTTCGTCCTTCAAGATGTAAGAGATATATCTCTTAGGTCATAGGGTCTAGATCCACTACACTAGACTCTCAAAAATTCGAGAGTTCTGCCTCGCTCCACTTACACTAGACAAACAGCTCCCAAATGCGTGTCGAGTGCTGTCAGAAAGTGTGCTAGACCGGCACTTTCTACTCCTCTAGTGTTCGCCCGCCTGCAACACCCGTTTCCTCAAGGGTCCTCAGTGCTGGTCTCGAAACGGAATTCCACCGCAAGTCTGGGTGGACGAACCAGCCTGGCGATTTCCTTTCGTGGAATCCGACTACTGTAGACTGTCCAAAGTGCGGCCCCATGTATCTTTCCATGGTGTAGCAGAAGATTCATTCTCAATTTGCAGATGTGGCCAACACCCGTTTCCTCAAGGGTCCTCAGTGCTGGTCTCGAAACGGAATTCCACCGCAAGTCTGGGTGGACGAACCAGGCTGGCGATTTCCTTTTGTGGAATCTGACTACTGTAGACTGTCCAAAGTGCGGCCCCATGTATCTTTCCATGGTGTAGCAGAAGATTCATTCTCAATTTGCAGATGTGGCCAGTAGTTTCCCACGGTCCACTACACTAGACTCCACTTTAGAGTGTTAGCGAGTCCGTCAAAAGTAGCGCCCTCTAGTGTAAATGGAGCGAGGCCTACTTTTTTGCTATTTTCTAGTCTGACAACTCTAGACTGACACTAGACTATTTTCTAGAGTCTAGTGTAGTGGAGTGAGACCCATACTCACACTAGCACTTGCCTAAATGCATCTGACCACAACCACGGCCAGACTTGGACGCATCTGACTGCAATCACGTCCAGAGCTCAGTCGAAAAAGTCCAAGTGTGAGTATGCCCTTAGGCTACGAGAGCAGAGTCTGGATCGTCATTCAGATAAAGCGTACTGACAGAAGGATCCTGATCTGGATAGCCCGAATTAAACCCTAAACCCTAAACCCCAAATCAAACCCTCAACGCCAAGGTTGAACCTTAAAACCTAGGTTAACAGAGTGACCCGGGTCCACTTGCCCGGCCGGGCCAAAAAGACATAAAAAAATAAAATAAAAAAAAATCATTTTTCAATTTAAATTTTTGTTTTAAATTTGGTAAAGAATTTCGATGTGACCCTGAGGCAAAAGTTGTTCAGTTTATTTTTCTGCATAACATTAGTTTTTTTTTCGTTTTTTTTTTTCGTTTTTTTTTTTTTTGGCTGGGCCCTTCCCTGGTCCATGCACGGCCGGCGCCCGGGAAAGTAGGGTGACCCGGGCGGCCAGGCTGGTAGCCTAGCTCAACATCAAATTTGAACCGTAAATCCCAAATTAAACTCTCAACTCCAAGCTATAACCCTAAGCCCCAAATTAAACCCGAATTACTAGGTTATTACTTCATTTCAATACCCCAAGCAAACCCTTGCCTACCCCGACAAAACCGTAGCCGGAATCATCATCTCTATACCCCAATTTGAGCCTTAGTTGGGTCATTTCAAACACCACCTCCCCATAGTCGCCAGCCCGCAACCNCACACGCACGCACACACGCATGCACGCACTAGATAGAAATTAACCCCTGGATCAGCAAGGTACCACAAATTGAACCCTATATTTGGGTCACCCACATCTCCTAAACTCAACTCTAGTTGGACCCCATCATTCGTATAGTCCAAAAATGGCACACTACAACTGCGGTTGGTGATCCGGCAGAATATATCTCCAAATAATCAATTAAGCCCTGCGCGGGTCATTCTTTGCATAATACTAGAGTAATTTAGTACAACATGGGAAATTTGGGCCCTAAAGGGCCTTTGTATTTGACCGGATACACCAAACATAGCCGTAGCTGGGTCATTTGGACAAAATAAAATTCCTAATGAATCCTTAACCCAATCAATCATGTGAATAATCCAGAGAGAGTGCATGCACGGTATCGACCTCCGTACCTCTCTTAGGCCCGCCGGCTCAAAGAGCTTGAAAAGTAGCAAGTGGTTAATTACGCGCGACCGTAAGTATGAGCCAGTAATTATAATTACTTTCTAGAGGCTTGGGTTGGTTTAATTGGGAGTTACCCAACTGACGCATCTACGGCTATAATTGGGCTATGGAAACGATGACCCCGCAGGGGTTAATTTTTGGAGATATTCTGGATATTCTGGATAACCCAGCGAAAACACAGATCAGACTCTATTCAAAAGCGATGGGTGTTTACCGCATCAAGGATTGATTTCCCGCCTTATCCATGACGCAGCGACGACAGCTTGATAATGGCAGGTATGTTCTCCTCCTCCTCCTCCTCCTCGTTCTTCTCCTCCTCCTCTCCTCCTCCTCCTCATCATCATCATCATCCTCTTTGTCGTCGTCGCCCTCCTCCTCCCTCCCTTCCTCTTTGCCGTTGTCGTCGAATGTCTTACACCTGCTCCTCCTCCTCCTCCTCCCACGGCGGTGCAGCACCTTACTTCTCCTTTGCCATGTGCGCGTGCCAGCGAGACGTCACACACATGCCGCGTCGTCCTCCTCCTCCTCCTCCTCTTTCGGCGTTGACATCCTTCTCCTCCTCTTCTTTCGTCGTTGCCATCCTCCCCTCTCCTCCTTCCGTCGTCAGGGTCGTCCTTCTCCTCCTCCTCCTCTTTCTCCTATTCCTCTTCTTCCTCTTCTTCCTCCTCTTCCTCCTCTTCCTCCATTTAAGAGATTTTACTGAACTACTGTTCTTGTAAAAAACTTGACATTGCTGTGCTTCTCTGTTGTGCTTGGCCACTGACCATCCCTTGTCTGTGTTGTTCTGGGATTCGAGAGAGGAAGATATTTAACGAATCGGCAGACTTGGAATGCCAAAGTCGTAAAATGACGGGGGGACGGCAGATGGCAGATAGATGAGGTTCAGAGGGGTGAACTTGCAAATTTTGTGTGTTTCAGGGGCAAAGAGGTAAGATAACAGGAAGAAACCATCGGTCCAGGTCCTCCCCTAGGTTATGTCGGATCGCTCAAGAGGCCGAAGGATCTGGGTACCAGTCCGCATCCAGTCTGTCTCTTGGTTGGGTTCGTCCGGTGCCCAGGTGCGCGCCACCGATTCCCGCCAAACGAGGGTTTTCCCGCCAAAAAGGACCAGACTGAGCCCACGGGTCGGCACCCGATCAGCAGAAGAAAGCTACCGTCTTCACCCGAATAGAACGCCCGGTCATTATACCTGGATTTGGCACAACTTCCCGTCCAGATGACAGCGATAATGACCGGGCGTTCTATTCGGGCGGGTGAAGACGGTGCGGCCACAGCCAGCCCTGTCGCAGCACATTCAAACTACTCTCATCTCCCCCGACCAGGCAGAAGGGATCGCCATAGCCATTCTCTAGCCGTTCATATCATGACGATGCCTTCTATACTGGAAACGGGGAACGCTGAGAGCTGTCAGACTCTGACGCAGCTTTTTGAGGTGCAATTTGCCAGTACCAGTACCAGGAGCAGCTGCTGCGGCGGCGGCCACTGCAGATCCAGCAGCAGAGTATCTGGTTCTGCCTGCCTGCAGGATAATGCCGGAAGCAACTGCAGCTGTGGAAAGAACGAAATTGTACCCAATTCAGAAACACAGCCGATGCTTTTTTTTTTTTTTTTTTAACACAGCCGATGCTAATCCCCCACTTCTGACAATTGTGGGTAGAGCAGACGAAGAGATCGAATCGAACACCTAGAGAAGCAGCCGCAGAAGCCATAAACCCACCACCTCCCGAGCCACAGCAATAGCAGCCAAGCAGTGGGCTCGCACGGCGCATCAGCTGCGCTGCTGGACTTAGCGCGCATCGCAGCTGATGCGCGCGCATCAGCTCCCCTGGTGAACTTGTCGCAGCATGCGGGCACGCATCAGCTGCGCTGCTGAAGTTTGTCGCAGCATGCGCGCGCATCAACTGCGGTGCATGCGCGCGCATCCGCTGCGCTGCTGTTGTGCAACGCATCAACCGCGCTGCTGAGCTTGTCGCAGCATGCGCGCACATCAACCGCGCTGCTGAACTTGTTGCAGCATCAGCGCACATCACTGCCGCGTTGCTGAACTTGCCGCACACTGCGCGCGCATCAGCTGCGCTGCCGAACTCGACGCCGCATGCGCATGCGCAATATCTACCAACAAAGTAGCTGCATTTGCAAAAGCTGCTGCATATTACTGTATTAATTAACAGCCACAGGACAGAGGTTCAGTAAATGCAGCCGTCACAGGTACATCATCACAATCGCCTTTTTTTATGGATCCAGAGAAAAGCCACAGCCACAGGACACAGGACAGAGATAAATGGCAAGATTCATCAGCAATCTTCGGAACATATGCTAAGATTGGATCCAGATACAGAACATCGATGCCAACTCGTTAACCACTTTGAATCAGAGTAGCGTCTTCATCAGCAACCACTTACTGTAGAATCAGGTCGAAGCAGATCGCTCATCGGAACATATGCTAAGGTTGGATCCAGATACAGAAGATTAAATTGGCAAGTCGGGAGTGCGCAAGGATCGATCACACGCACAAATCGCGAAACAATCGTCCAGGCTTGGTGACAAATCGGAAGATTGGAGTCCCGACGGTGCAGAGAAACTGCGATGGCTGTGGGCATCGGGATCTCAGCGATGGCACAGGAATGCAGGAAGACATAGCGGATGCACGAACGATGGGAGAACAGGCGAGGTACCATTTTTTTGTTGAAGAAATTTGCCCACAATTGATTTCGGGAAAGTTTGGCCTTCATCTCTGCTTCCCCCGTTTGCCAAGGACTTGTACCGGGGATCCGATGGATGACGAACAACTCGCAACGACACAGGCACTTGTAGAAATAGCCGGGAACCCATCATCCCCACCTCCTCCTCCATTGCCGCCATGTTCATGTCCTGCCGTGCCAACTCGTTTGTCTTCCTACTCGTCATCCATCTCTCTCTCTCTCTCTCTCTCTCTCTCTCTCTCTCTCTCTCTCTCTCTCTCTCTCTCTCTCTCTCTCTCTCTCTCT